AAATTTTTATTTTTCTCCTTACATTTAATGTACAATTTTATGTGATTAATAGGGAAACAAAAACTAAAAATAAAATAAGTCACGTTATTTAAGTGTCGAAGTGTCAAGCACTACTGTACTAATTGAAGACACCGAAACAAGCAAACAAATATTGTAAATTAAACAGAAACTTGTTTAAAAACCTAACTGGCGGGAAGCTGACCAGTTGGCTATTTACAAAGCGTGGAAGAGTTGAATCTGGGACCACCAACCACAAACCTATCCAGGGGCAGGGAGGAGGATTTGAACCTGGGACCATCCTGATTACAAACCCAGCGCCCTAACCACAAGGCCGCGCTGATTCCAAAACAAACAATTACAAACGTAAAGTATTTAAAAAAACCAATGTAATGTAATGTAAATCTTATTTAAAGTGGTCATGCACTTAGCTATACAATCACTAAGCTTAGCTAGTTTACAGGCATGCCACTGAAACCGAAGGAAACAAATATTTCAAATAAACGTAACATAGTTAAAAATCCCGCCAACTGAGAGGAGGCAGACCAGTTGGCTATCTACAAAGCGTGACCGAGGATTGAACTCGGGACTACCGAGAAACAAGTCCCGCTTGTGGCAGGACGGAGGCCTGGAAGCCGGGACCTCCTGATTACAACACCAGCGCCCTTAACCACTCGGCCGCGCTGCCAAGTAGAAGCACCAAACAACTTTTATAAGTAACATAACAAACCATGGTTAAAACAGGGGAATGGTTATGAAGCCCAACAGAGTTCTTTGTTACATAATTTTGTTCGCTTCTCTGGTCTTAACCAAGCATAAAGCACAATACTAAAAAGGTTTCGTTGACGATATGACTGCATAGTGTATAATCAGAAAACAAAAGATTGTGCTCAGTCGTGGACCTTGCAACAAAAATCGTGGGAACTTTGTTTGTTCCTCTGAAGTTTGCGAGGCTTCCTATCCTTTGTTGCATATGAACAAACACGTGAAATACCATGTTTCATCATTATTTCAGATAGAACTTCTATTACCGTTCATTAGAGCTCTCCTTACTTTTCTACATACATTT